AGTAAGTTGTGTTGTGTACTCACACAGAGAAATGCTGCTTAACAATGGAAATCAGCAGATCACGTGCACCATTTTCAACAGTATAGCATGAAGGAAGCTGCAGAACAATTGTCAATAAGAACCCAAAACGATATGTACTATATCATTCTGTTATAAACTTCAGATATTATCTGGGGATGCATACCTAGGTATGATAACATATAATAAAGCTATAAAGAGACTGCTAGTTTTATGCTTGACAGAAATGAATAGAGTTGGAGGAATGGCTTAGAGTCTAAAAACATTTGTTGCCTTTGCTGAGGACCTAGGTTTGATAACCAGTACCCACATGGCCATTCACAGCCATCCATAACCCCAGTTCCTTCTGACCCCTACAGGTGCCAGGTCTGCCCATGATACCTATGCACCCATACACAGAAAACAAATCTAAAAAGAAAATAGGAGTGAGTTGGAAGGTGTTGTGGTCAAGAAGGGGAAGGCTTCTGGGAGTTGGCAGTACTTACAGGTTCAAAGAAAAAAGTATGACTTATTTCCCACACCCTCCCCCATATAAAAATGTAACAAAGATTCATTTTGTTAAAATTGCTCACACTGTAGCCTAATATGTGTACTTTCTGTATGTAACATTTCAGTGCAGATTTTAAGAACACACTCTTTTCTGATAGGGAACCCCATCACCACTACCACCACCGCACACACACTTACAGGGTTTCTCCGTGTAACCCTGACTGTCTTGGAACTCACTCTGTAGATCAGACTGGCCTTGAACTCACAGAGATAGATCCACCTGCCTTTGTCCCCTGAGTGCTGGAATTAAAGGTGTGCACCACTACCTACCTGCCCTAGTGACAAAATTCTTAACATCTAGAGATTATTTTATTTGCAGACCATTAACAAGAAACCAAGAGGAAATATCATATTTAGTGGTGAAATCTGACCAGTGTCCTCACTGAATTAAACAAGACTAATCTATTCAGTATCATCTCCTATTCTATTAAATTTCAGCTAAAACTTGAGTAGGATAAACAAAAACTTATTTGCTGGGGGACTGGTGAGATGGCTCAGTGATTAAGAGCACTTAGTATAAAGTTGGGTTCCCAGCACCCATGTGGCAGCTCTGTACACGACTGTCTGTAAGGAGAGAGAGAAAGAGCAAGAGAGAGAGAGAGAGAGGGAGGGAGGGAGGGAGGTAGAGGACAGCTGTTAGGAGTTAGTTGCCTGCTGCCATGTACATTCCAGGAGTTGGGTGCTTGGGGCTGAGTACCTTTATTGCTTAGCTCACTGTGAAACCCTGCTCCCATGTTTCTAGTGAGAATTCTGGAGCCAGTAACCCAGACCTGGGGAGATTTGATTAGTCGAAAACTTGATGGAAGATTCAGACTTTAGACTAAAACCCAATCTCATTTTGTCAAGGTCAAGGAGCCTGTGCTATATGCCATATGATGAAAATTAATGGTTGGTTCCTGTGGCATTTCTCTGATAAATTACTGTGATTTATTAAAAGTGAATAGGTTTCTGATTCGTGAGTCAAATCTGTGGGAAGGGGTCAGTTACCCAGTGCAGCTGCAGAGGCTCTGTGACAGAGTGTTTAACATTTGTCAGGCACTGGTCAGATGCTCTTGACCCAGCCCTTTCATTTGAATAGATGGTGAGATGAACACAAGTTAGCTGTTACATTAGCCCAGCACCTTCTGAAGAAAATAAGAGGTAGGGGAGGGTGGGAGGGTGCAGGAACTGGGATTGACATGTAAAACAACCTTGTTTCAAATTTAAATTTTAAAAAAAGGGGAGAAAAAATAAAAAATAAGAGCTACAAACTTAAGTTTTGTAGTAGCCACATGGAAAACAAGGCATGATGATAATAATCCATATCATCTCAACATATCATTACCATAGGACTGGTAATTTTGCATTCTTTTAGGGATGCTAAATCTTTGAACACAAATCTTAGTTTGGCTCAGCTGTATTCCAAGTGTGGCCAGGGCTGAGCAGGGCCGAGCTAGACTGTAAGCCCCAGAGACAGTGTCACTGACCCGGCACCTGTCATGGTAACAGTTCACAGCTGTTGTCCTTTAATATCTGGACTTAGAGTCAATGAATGGACACATTTTATGTTGAATCCTCTTTTTATTTTGCCTCAGTATTTGATACACATGAGTTATGTTCATCACAAAGATAGTTTGGAGCATGTTCTCTGCTCCCTGTCCACTGAGAAGTCCTAGAATGTTCCCAAAATGTAAAAACCTAGAAGGTATCTCATGGCTCCTGGAAATGAAAAAAATAGCATCATTCTAAAGAGTCTTAGTTTCTGTCTATTGAGCATAGCAACTGTTTTAAGTTTGTCTTGCTAACTCCTAGATGTATTGATTACTTGCAAAAGTCATTCCCCAGCCCAACACCTGTTCCCCGAGATCACACTCTCCCCTTATCCCCTTCCTTCCTTTGTTGCTGGGGATTAAAGTCAGGGCCTCACACATTCTAAGCGCCTGCTCTGCCATTGAGCCCCATGCCCTGTATCTTGTAATAAACCACGTCAGAGTCCACAGAGCTCGACACTCTCCATCATCCCTGCCACTGTTTACTTTGGCTTAAAGTTAAACTCAGGGAAACTTGAGGAGGAATTGTGTTTTTTTCCAGCAGTGTCAGGTGCTGTGGGTGGTGCGGGATAAGTACATGCTGTTAGCCTTTGGGAAACCTCTACTCTATTAAAACAATGGATGAAATGAGTAGAGGAGAATCAGTTACTAGGTAGTTCATCCTCAACATTGTTCAGTGTTCCTGTGAGCCTTAGACTCGGTTATAGAAAAGGGGATGCACATATACTTTTTCCCCCTCAAACAGCTCACCGTCACCTGGAAAGATACACATACGCCAGAGAATGTTTAAAAACAACAAATGTGTTGGGGACAGTATCACTGTCCCCAGCACAGAGGAGGAAACTGAGATCCAGTGAAGGCCCTGGCTTGTACGAGGTACCGGTGGAAAGAACCTGGATTCAGCCTAGATGTCATGGGAGCCCTTGCTCAGTCTCTTGCGCATAAGCTCTCCTGTGTTTCCAGTGTGCCCGAAGGAAACTCAGTTCTTAATTAAATCACAGCTCGTTTGTAAGTTTGCCAGCTGATCGGTGTCACACTCATATTTAGGAAGTGACGCTGCTCCCATCTGATAACTGTTTATTTAGGTCTACCCTAACATTAAGCAGGAGGCTACTGAGCCAGAGGAGCCCTAGAAGGGCTGCATAGAGTAAGCTTGGAAATATTTCTACCACTGGAGACTTGAAGGCCAGGTAGGCTAGGCCTGCTGTGCAGTGAGGATGACTCAGCCCTAGTGAACGAGTACAGGGAGTATACTGTTTCGCCTCAGAGGCTCTGAGATGCCTGACCCAGTGATTTGCACACAGGACTGACATGGAGCAGAGTAACTACAAGATTCATTGTTGCTTTGTTTTTCAGTTGCTCTAGTTCTCTGCCTATTTTTTTGTTGTTCTAAAGTGTACCCTAGAAAGTGAGCTTTTTGCTTAAAAAGACATGAAAGGCCTTATTAGGTTGGTAATAGATACTTATGAGTAAAGCATATTTATTGGGTGTCTAGCAGTGTCCTAAGTATTAATGAACTTTATACTGGTATCTATAGTACATGAAAATAGAGATGTTTTTAGGGTTATAGCAAATATAATATCCTCTTAGTCCATATTGTATTTTATCTTGTTTGGTTCTATAACTATTTGAGGTTTTATACAGACTGGTATAAGAAGTTATAAGGATAATAGAAATATAAAGTTGTGGGCTTTTTTTTTCACCCTTTAAAATGATCTCAAAATAATTTTAAATGAACTAATTATGTATACATAATTTCATCATTTATTGTGTACTGGGGATTAAGCCAAGGGCCTTGAATATCCTAGGGAAGTACTCTACCCGCTTGAGCTGTATCACCAGTTTTTTTGCTTTTGTTTGTTTGTTTGTTTGTTTGTTTTTTTGCTTTGTTTTTTAAATCTTAAGACAGACTATCCCTAAATTGCCTAGGCTGGTCTTGAACTTATGCTCTGAGCCCAGGCAGGTATTAAAATTATGTTTCTCCTGACTCAGCCTCCCCAGTAGCTTAGATTACAGGCTTGTACCACAAACCCTGGCTAGTTAATGTAATTGAAACTATAGGAAGGTCCTGTGGCTGTAGCTTAGTGGTGGGATGCTTGCTAACCATGCACAAGACAGGTCTATCATAAAGAAAACCAATCACAGTCTTTAAATTCTGGAACTTGCCTCCTTCCTATTTGCCAAGCTTTGCTTTTGTCTGTGGTCCTGGGGTCCTAGCCAGGATCTTTACTAATACCTTGGAGTCTCAGAGGTCAGGTCTTACTTCCATTTTTAAATTTTTTGGCCATTTTGAGTTAAACATTTTTTTTTTCAAAAATAGCTTTTCTTAATAATAACTTTAAACAGAATATAAGATGTTCTTTGGGATAAATGCAGGGTTTTCTTTGAAAAGTTTTGGAATAGGATCCAGAGAGTTAATTTTGCTCTGACCCCATGATGGCTTTCTTTTTAAATGTATGCTTACATGTGTGTGTTAATTTAGACATGACTCATTCATGTTTGTGGTTGCTTTCTCCAGTAGTCACAGTTATCCAGCTTGCCTATGCTTTCCCTATACAGTTAGTCTGACCTCTGACCTCTCAGCCTCTGAGGTACTAGGCCTCTCCTTTTCCTTTTCTTGAATCCCACATCGTCACCATTTCCTTGAGTTTACCATGCTGTGTCACCTCTCCTGGGAAAACTCTCTCTTAGTCTTTGAAATTTAGAAGTCATGAAATAAAAATGGAGAGTAGCTTCTTAAAATCTAAGACAGTCTGTGCGACTATATAAATAATCTAAGTAAATGACTATGTTGTGTTAGGAATCCCTTCCTGCCTCCCCTTTAAAGTTTAAATGGTTGTTACTAGTTTGCTTATGCTCTTCATCTGTGGGGTACTTTTGGAAAACTGTCCTCTTCTTCCTTAGGCCACAGACCTCCCCCAGCCCGCAGTGGACATCGTTGTGTGGCTGATAATACCAATCTCTATGTGTTCGGAGGGTATAACCCAGACTATGATGAATCAGGAGGCCCAGATAATGAAGACTACCCTCTCTTCAGGGAGCTTTGGAGGTATCATTTTGCAACAGGCGTGTGGCACCAGATGGGCACAGATGGCTACATGCCCCGGGAATTGGCATCCATGTCACGTAAGTGCCAGCAGTTCTGAAGTTTTGACCTTGTGAACCAACTGAAATGTCAGGTTCAGTGTCACTTGCTCCTTATTATAATTTATACTATTGTAATATGATTAAGTGTTGTCACTGACTAGGCTTTTCACTTCGATGATAATATAGTGTGGTGTCTTTGAATCTAACTATATCATATTGGACTGCCAGATGAGTTTTAACTTTATTTGCCTATAAAGTAAGATTAACAATGTCTCAGAGGGTTCAGTATAATGTAAAGTATTACATATGTTAGGAAAAATGTAGTCAAAATGAAAAAATGGAGTTGCAACTATGGCAATTAATAGCTATTAAGTGAAGGGCTTCACCTCCTTAAGCATCACTATGTTAAGTTTCTACAGTGATTGCCATTGTACAAATGGGCCTGAGGTTTCATAGAGTCCTGAGAATAATGGCTAAGATTGCATGCTCTGAAGCTAGACAGTCTATGATTGAGTCCCAGCTCTCTTTAGGAAATCATCAGCAAGCTATTTAAACTGTTCTTACTAGGCATGGTGGTACATGCCTATAGTCCTAGCATTTGGGAGGCTGAGATAGAAGAATTGCAGTGAGTTCAAGGCTAGCCTGAGCTATATAGCAAGACCTTATCTTCTGAAAACAAATAGACAGAGGAATTAAAGCACAAACATCTGCCATTTCTGTTTCTGTTTATCATCTCTAAAAATGTAAGTTGGGCTTATTGCTTAGTGGTAGAGTGTACCAAGCTTTGGATACAAACTTAGCACAGAGAGGAGACAGAGGAGAGAGAGGAAAGTAATAATAAAGAGAGAAGAAAATAACATGTTCAGTGCCTACTTCATAGGGTTGTTGGGAAAATTAAATTAGGGAGGTTAACTAGTTTTCCTGAAGTCACACTAGATTTAAATCCAACTCTTGACCTCACTACAGTGCAGACTGTTAACTACTATAATTCATGTTAACCACTACAGTGCAGACTGTCAGCCACTACAGTGCAGCTGTCAGCCACTACAGTACAGACTGTCAGCCACGACAGTGCAGACTGTCAGCCACTACAGTGCAGACTGTCAGCCACTACAGTGCAGCTGTCAGCCACTACAGTACAGACTGTCAGCCACTACAATGCAGACTGTCAGCCACTACAGTGCAGACTGTCAGCCACTACAGTGCAGACTGTCAGCCACTACAGTGCAGGCTGTCAGCCACGACAGTGCAGACTGTCAGCCACTACAGTGCAGACTGTCAGCCACGACAGTGCAGACTGTCAGCCACTACAGTGCAGACTGTCAGCCACTACAGTGCAGACTGTCAACCACTACAGTACAGACTGTCAGCCACTACAGTGCAGACTGTCAGCCACGACAGTGCAGGCTGTCAGCCACGACAGTGCAGACTGTCAGCCACTACAGTGCAGACTGTCAGCCACGACAGTGCAGACTGTCAGCCACTACAGTGCAGACTGTCAGCCACTACAGTGCAGACTGTCAACCACTACAGTACAGACTGTCAGCCACTACAGTGCAGACTGTCAGCCACTACAGTACAGACTGTCAACCACTACAATGCAGACTGTTAACCACAACAATGCAGACTGTTAACCACTACAGTACAGACTGTCAGCCACTACAGTGCAGGCTGTCAGCCACTACAGTGCAGGCTGTCAGCCACTACAGTGCAGGCTGTCAACCACTACAGTGCAGACTGTCAACCACGACAATGCAGACTGTCAACCACTACAGTGCAGACTGTCAGCCACTACAATGCAGACTGTCAACCACTACAGTGCAGACTGTCAACCACTACAGTGCAGACTGTCAACCACAACAATGCAGACTGTCAACCATGATAGTGCAGGCTGTCAGCCACTACAGTGCAGACTGTCAACCACGATAGTGCAGGCTGTCAGCCACTACAGTGCAGGCTGTCAGCCACGACAGTGCAGGCTGTCAACCACTACAGTGCAGACTGTCAGCCACTACAGTGCAGACTGTCAACCACAACAATGCAGACTGTCAGCCACTACAGTGCAGACTGTCAACCACTACAGTGCAGGCTGTCAGCCACGACAGTGCAGGCTGTCAACCACGATAGTGCAGACTGTCAACCACGATAGTGCAGTCTGTCAACCACTACAGTGCAGCTGTCAACCACGACAGTGCAGGCTGTCAACCACTACAGTGCAGACTGTCAGCCACTACAGTGCAGACTGTCAACCACGATAGTGCAGGCTGTCAACCACGATAGTGCAGACTGTCAGCCACGACAGTGCAGGCTGTCAACCACTACAGTGCAGGCTGTCAACCACTATGGTGTGTGAATTAATGAATTGTGGGGAAGTTGGGAAGCTACTGAAATGAAAGGGGCAGAGGAAGGAGGGAAGAAAGAAAAAGGGAGTATTGTGTAAATTGTGGCAAACAGAAAAGATAAAGATAGAATACCAAATTTGTCTGCAGGATATCTTTTCATCTGGTGGATGAAAACTGACAGAAACCATAGTTTAAAATATAAAGATCATTTCTCTGACAGAATGATCCTTTGATTATCCCATCTGAGTCCTACAGGTTCTTTTCCAAGGCAAAGATGATAGATCGTTTTCCTTTGGTTTGCTGTGTATTTGAGCTATCTTGAACAGCAATGATATCCTGTAGTTCATAGACTTGACATTGCTATGCACAGTTTTAGTTTATGAATTCTATAAGTGACTTTTGACGGTATATCATATATCTAACAGTGAATCATATGAGATAATCCATACAGTATGAATTAAGCCATTTTCTGAAGAATCTATAGTTTGATATTAGTGGTCTTAATAAGATCATTAAAATAGACATGTTTGAGCTGTTCAGTGGGTCTGGGTGCGTGGGCAGCGCACTGCAGGGAGCAATTGCATTGAGTGGGATGTGTGTTTCTTCTCCCCAGTTGTCCTGCATGGAAACAACCTGTTAGTGTTTGGAGGCACAGGCATCCCATTTGGTGAGAGCAACGGCAATGACGTCCATGTTTGTAATGTGAAGTACAAGAGATGGGCTTTACTCAGCTGTCGGGGGAAGAGACCCAGTCGTATATATGGACAGGTACTAATCTGGCTAATGAATGGTGAATGTACTTATTTCATATTTTTCTAGTCTAGTAGCAGTGTCAGAATGCAGCACTACCACTGTTTTAATGGAGATTTAAAGTAAATTCATAAATCTTACATTCCCCGAGAGGAGAGAGGGAGGAGGGAGAAGGGGGAGAGAGGGGGGGAGTGTTTTGTGTTTTGTGTTGAGGCTAGGGGACAGCCTCAGGTATTGTTCCTTAAGAGCTGTGTCCACCTTTTGTCTCTCCTTTCTTTTGAGGCAGTCTCTGGATCTGGGGTTAGCTGTTGAGGCTGGTCTGCCTGCCTGCCTGCCTGCCTGCCAGTGAGCTCCAGGGGTCTGCCTGACCTTGCTTTTACTAGTGGACATCACCACTCCTGTTTTGTTTTGTTTTGTTTTGTTTGTTGTTTTACATGGGCATAGGAATTGAACTAAGGTCCTTGTGCTTGCACATCAGCATTTTACCCACCAAGCCATCTTCTCAGTACCATTATTGCTAGGTCTATGTAGAAGTTTCTTTTACTGCACCAACCCTAGTGCAGACTGAGCTTTAGCATGCTCTGAGTCTACTCTGATGATGGGGTTCTATGAAGAACTTCATTTGCTAAGAAGTGCAGCTCACTGAGAGACTTAACACAGAGCTGAATTAAAGCATGTAGAGACTATTCGTAGGTGAGTTTAACCTTTGGTGTCAGGTTTTTGTTTGTTTGTTTGTTGTTTGTTTTAGTTTGGTTTTCTGAAACAGGGTTTCTCTGTGTTGCCCTGACTGTCCTGGAACTCACTTTGTAGACCAGGCTGGTTTTGAACTCAGAGTTCGCTTGCCTCTGCCTCCCAAGTGCTGGGACAAAAGGTATGTCTTTGGTTTGTAAAGTTATGTCCAGAAAGACTTTAGAGGCTGGTGGCAGGACTTGGAATAACCACTGTTGGCATGGGGCTCAGCTGTCTTGTACACAGGAGTGATTAAACACTTTTGCACTTTGTCTCTGAAAGGGGCTCTTTCTGGACCACTCTGTCTTACCACAGGGGCTGCTCAAGGTCTAAGAAGTTACTGCTGTGGGTGGCAGTGACTGAAGAGAAGTCTGATGGAAATGTCAGTTCTGAGCTCCATACTTCGAGGACAGTGCTAGACTCTTCTTCTGTTGCTGCTTCTTGAGCACGTTTTTTTCAGACTGCTTAGGAAGAGAGGTAGCTTTCAGGAGAAATGTTCATATGCACTGCCCTTACATGCTTAACTCTAAGATAATCATTGTAGTTGCAAGGTTTTCTCTGACTCGTCCGGTCCCCCTAGACTGGTTTCTCTCCGGTCCTCTGGTCCTCGCTGCCGCTTATAAGAGAATCACTCTGAGGCTTAATATTAATTACAATTGCTCGGCCAATGGCTCAGACATATTACTAACCAGCTCTTACAATTAAATTAACCCACTTTTATTAATCTATACTTTACCATGAGGCTCGTGGCTTATTATCTCACATCTTGCTTCCCCAGTAGCTACATGGAGTCTTCGCCTTCTTTCTCTCCATAACTCTTATTTTGATTTCCCACCTAGATATATTCTGCCTGACCATAGGACAAAACAGCTTTATTCATCAGCCAATAAAAGCAACACATATTTTTAGCATATAGAAGGATATCCCACATCAAATCACCTAAGATACCTTTCTAGGTAGAACTAGCAAAGCTTTACTGTATAAAGGCAAAGGTAAAACAGCCCTTGGGTTCTAGAAAAAGATTTAGTCATTCATTCATGGACAAGGTTTCACATGTTGCACAGGCTGGCCTCAGCCTCATGAATAATTGGGACTATAGGCAAATGTCAGATCACCTGGCTTTAGGGTCTGATTTATTTTTAACCTTTCAAAATTTTTATTTATTGTTATTAGCGAGCATGTGTGTGTCTGTGTGTGTGTGTGTGTGTACACGCCACAGCTCAAGGGTATAGATCAGAGAAGAACTTTTGGGGTTGATGTCTCCCTTCGCTATGGATTCTGGGGATGAACTCAGGGTTGGGCTTACCAGCCCTTTTACTTTTAGTTTTTGAGCTTTTGGTAGGGTTTTTTGGTTTGGGGGTTTTTGGTTTGTTTTTAAGGTCTCACTTTGTAGCTCAGGTTGACCTGGCCCTCACTACAGAGCCTCCAATCTAGCCTCAGACTTCTTTCTTGCCTTAGCCTCTTGAGTATTAGGATTATAAGTAAGCACCATCATACCTGAGTCAAAGTCTGATACTTTATTTTTAGATGTAGTTTGTGTGTATGTGTGTTTTGCCTGCATATGTGTACCATGTCTATGTTTAGTACCGGGTGTTGAATCTCCTGGAACTATAGAATTATGGGATGGTTGTGAACCACCATGTAGGTACTGGGAATTGAACTCAAGTGCTCTTAACTGCTGAGCCATCACTCCAGCTTTGCTATTTTATTTTTATTTATGTGGTATGTGTGCACAGGTGCCTGGGGAGCTGAAGTTACAGGTGGTTGTGAGCTGCCTAACATGGATGCAGGGACTGACTCCACTTCCCTGGGAGAGCAGAAAGCACTCTAACTGCTGAGCCATGTCTCTTACCCCAGGATTCTCATATTTTAAAGGGTTAAAAAGGAAAAGAAACCAGGCAGCGGTGGCTCATGCCTCTAATCTCAGCACTCAGGAGGCAGAGGCCACCTGGTCCACAAAGTGAGTTCTAGGACAGCCAGGGCTACACAGAAAAAAAAAAAAAACAAAAAAACAAAACAAAAACCAGAAACCAGAAACCAGAACAAAAAAAGACAAACAAACAGAAACCAGAACCAGAACAACAACAAAAAGATGATGTTGATAAGACATGATTTGGGGGCTTGGCCAAGTGTCCATTTTCTAATAGTGTTAAAGAGTAAGGAGTCATCCTTATTCACCTTCTTCCTACAGGCCATGGCTCTCATCAATGGTTCCCTGTATGTCTTTGGGGGAACAACGGGCTACATCTACAGCACAGACCTGCACAGGTTAGATCTCAACACCATGGTGTGGACACAACTCAAGCCAAACAACCTGTCCTGTGACCTGCCGGAGGAGAGGTAAGGGAAGCACTGACTGGGGCTGAGGGCTCTGAGCCCCTCCAGAACTCCCCTGATAGAGCAGCTATCTGGCACATAGCTCCAGATCATGGTAAAGAAAGAACTATTGACGAGAATGTTTTCCTCTAAGTGCAGAACCTTTAAATATTATTTCTCTTGTACGTGTTAGTCTTCCAGTAGTAAGCTGTTAGTAATGTTTTGAAAGGAATCAATGGTAGCAGTTGCCAATGAAAGTTATAATGAGGGTCAGTGAATATTGGCTGGAGGAAGGAAAGGTGGGTGGGAAGATGGATGACGGATGGAGGGTGGGTGGGAGGGTCATTCACCCCACTGTCTCTGAAACATCCCAGCATCGCATGGCCCTCCTGTTGCTTTCTACCAGTGGCCTTAGACCTTTCGCTTTTTTTCCATGGGAATAGTTACCTCTTAGAATTAAACTCAATAACAAAGTTAGCATTATTTTTCTGAGTTTAATAACAAAGTAAATGTTTTTTTAATTCTCTCTGCTCAGACTAATTGGGTGTCTTTTGTTGCTGTTAAACAAAATATCTACATTTGTGGTACTCAAGTGTCCTTACAGTAGGCTGTTGTTAGGCTGGCTATTGCAGGGTTAGTGGGAGGGGCTGGGAGGTGGTTGTTAATGCAATTTAGATATAATCTATGTTGAGAGCACCAGGACCTTTCAGGGAAATACAAAGAAAAACAAAGCATTTTCACATAGTTGCCTTCTTTTAGTTATTTTATGGACATATATATGATTGCCACTGGAAGGCTGTGTAGCACGAATAATAAAAACCCAAAGACAGATATTGGGGTTCAAGTGGAAGAACAGAAAAGCAAAGCAGCCAAGCCTCTACCAAGGCTCAGACCAAAAGGGGGGCTCCTGCCCTCAGCGAGACTGCAGATTGAATAGAACTGTACTCCTGTCCCCCCGCAGACTGAATAGAGCTGTACTCCTGTCCCCCCACCCCACCCCACCCCACCCCCGCAGACTGAATAGAGCTGTACTCCTGTCCCCCCCCACCCCCGCAGACTGAATAGAGCTGTACTCCTGTCCCCCCCCACCCCCCCACCCCCGCAGACTGAATAGAGCTGTACTCCTGTCCCCCCCCACCCCCGCAGACTGAATAGAGCTGTACTCCTGTCCCCAACCCCCCAACCCCCGCAGACTGAATAGAACTGTACTCCTATCCCCCCCCACCCCCCACCCCCGCAGACTGAATAGAACTGTACTCCTGTCCCCCCCCCACCCCCGCAGACTGAATAGAGCTGTACTCCTGTCCCCCCCCCACCCCCGCAGACTGAATAGAGCTGTACTCCTGTCCCCCCCCACCCCCCCACCCCCGCAGACTGAATAGAGCTGTACTCCTGTCCCCCCCCACCCCCCACCCCCGCAGACTGAATAGAACTGTACTCCTGTCCCCCCCGCAGACTGAATAGAGCTGTACTCCTGTCCCCCCACCCCCCACCCCCGCAGACTGAATAGAACTGTACTCCTGTCCCCCCCCACCCCCCACCCCCGCAGACTGAATAGAGCTGTACTCCTGTCCCCCCCCACCCCACCCCCGCAGACTGAATAGAGCTGTACTCCTGTCCCCCCGCAGACTGAATAGAGCTGTACTCCTGTCCCCCCCCCCATGTTCCTCTCAAGTGCTGGGAGTAGAGGTGTGACCACCACTGCCTGGATCCATGGTTGACTAATGTGGCTAGCTTTGTACTCTGATCTTCAGACAAGCTTTATTTTTAGATCATAAACAAAATGTCACCACAAGGCTGCGGTAGGAGGATTAAGAATTCCAGTTCTGAGAGGCTGAAAGAATGGCTCAATGGTTAATATGGCTGCTCTTCCAAAGGTCTTATGTTCAATTCCCAGCACCCATATGGCAGCTCACAACTGTCTAGAACTGTAGTCCTTTGGGATTCAATTCTCTCTTCTGGTGTACAGAGTACATGCAGACAAAACACCCATATACGTAAAATACATTAAATAAATAGATTTTTTTTTAAAGAATTCCAATTCCAAGGCAGCCTATATTATTCAGGGTTCTCTAGAGAAACAGAAGTTATAGAATAATCAAGGGGAGTAAATAGAATAGCTTACAGGCTATGGTCCAGCTCATCCAACAATGACTATCTGCCAGTGCCAGGGCCCAGAATCCAGTAGTTGTTCAGTCCACAAGGCTGGATGTCTCTACTGGTCTTGAGTATGTGCTGGGTTCCTGAAGACGTAGGCTCTAATGGCAGTGAAGGGAAGGACTTCCCAGTAAGGGCAAGCAGGCAGAGAGAGCAGGCTTCCTTCTCCCAGGTCCTTTATACAGGCTGCCAGCAGAAGGGGCGGCCAGATTGAAGGTGGATCCTCCCACCTCATAGATCCAGATTAGAGGTGGGTCTTCCCGCTTCAAATGATTTAATTAAGAAGAAATCCAGGGCTGGGGAGATGGTTCAGCAATTGAGAGCACTGGCTGCTTTTCCAGAGGACTCGGGTTCAGTTCCCAGCACCTACAAGATAATGCACAACTGTCTGTAACTCCAGTTCCAGGGGTCTCATACCTTCACACCAATGTACATAAAATAAAGTTTAGATAAATTATTAAAAGAGAAAAGAATCCCTAACTGGGAGGTGTTAGGGTGCACGCTTTTAATCCCAGAAATTAGGAGGCAGAGGCAGGTCTACAAGGCCAGCCTGGTCTACAAAGTGAGTTCTAGAACAGCCAGGGCTTTTATACAGAGAAACTCTATCTCAAATAACCAAAAGGGGCGGGGGAGAGAGAGAGAGAAGAGAGCATTACCTAGCCATGTGGGTTTTAGTTAATTCCAGATATTGTCAAGTTGGCCAACAAGAATAGCCATATTGGGGGGGGGGGGGGTTTCACTTGCAGCTCAGTTGCCAAGATGAAAGTTCTAGCAGATGTTTCATTCAGCATATTGTACATGCAATTTTCTGCCAAATAAGTATTTTAACTTAAAAACTCATTGTTTGGGGTTCTAATTGAATATAGGCAGATCATTTATTAGATGATAGTTTCTCCATTTACAGAGTCATTACAGGAATATTTTAGATAATCTACAGGAAGATTTTAGATAATCTAGAAAATACAAATCCGAAATTGAAGAAAAGAAAGATAAACTAAACTTAGAGGTAGCTAGGTGGCCATCTGCGGTGGGAACACCTTTGCATTCTCAGGAGTTTGTTTGTTGAAAGTTTTGTGCCCCAGCCAGCAGGGCAGCAACAAGGGCCTGAACCTCAAAGTACCTGGGATGGGGGACAGCAGGCACGAGAAAACTGACAGCAAGACAGGCTTTCTGATCAAGCTGCGAAATTGTATTTTTCTCAAGCATGTTATATAGTGGTTAGAGCGGAAAGCTAGGTAAGGCGGGGATTCAGAAGCGGGAGGTGGTAGCGTGGTAACCAGACTGCAGGATGTTCTTAGTCACAGATCACTGAAGGTGAGCAGGATATCGGCTAAGAGGAAATGCAGATAGAGATAAGCAGGTTGTTACAGCAGGGGAAGAGGTCACAGGAGTTGCTAAATACCCATACCTCATAAGGAGGGGTTCCAAGTAACCTAACTGCATTCCTGTGAGCCCTAAATTCTACTTATCAGGAAGTTGGGGAGGAGGAGGTTGATTGGGACTGAAGGTAGCAATCTTCTAACTCAATAGGCTATTCTAAAAAATGCTGGCAATCTCTAAGGCTTATACCACGATCGCTCCTGGCAGTTTTGAACCTGTCTACAGCTGATTTAACATGGAGTCCATTTCCTTTCCAGTTAATGGTGTGAAAAGAACTTTGAGATGGATTTGCTGTCCTTTATTTCTTATTGATTGTATACTAATGCATTTTATGCATATTCTATACTTCATTTAACTAAGTTCACTACTAGTTAACACTTGGGTGATTTCTAATAGTTTATCATCATAAATAATGGTAATATTTAGTTAATAGAAACCTCACAGCTAACCCTTAAGGAGGGTCATCTTCACCCAGTTATATTTTTCGGTATTTTCAGATACAGACATGAAATTGCTCATGATGGGCAGAGGATTTACATCTTGGGAGGAGGGACTTCCTGGACAGCCTATTCCTTAAACAAGGTACTTTTTTTTTTTCCTTAAAGAAGTAAAAGGTAATGGGAGACAATGGACACAGGCATATGTCTTAGTAGTCAAGATGATTCTGTTAGGTATTTGCATTCTTGAGCAGTCCCTTGTTTGGTGATGAGTGTTCTCTATGACAGAAGGTTGAACTCAGTGCCCCTGACACGTTTGTAGTTGATAGTCACATTCATCACGGGCTGAAAGCCTTTAGGAACGTGGCAGATGAGGACAATGTGTATAATTAGAGTTGGAGCCAGGCTTTGCAGAGTGTCACATCCTCTTTGGTGCAGAGGCTCCAAAAGGGATGGCATGGGTAGGGCTGTACACCACTAGCTCCAGGGAGCTTTACTTATGCACCCCATGGCATTTCAGAAGGGTCACAGTTAGAAATGCCAGAGGAGATGTAGGTCAGGTGACAGCTCCTGGCCTGCCTTGTCCTTTCCTTTTTTCCATCACAAGACTGCTGCGTGCTCACTGTGGAGATGTGAAAGGAGCAGAGCAGCATACGGAACACGGAGAGGCATGAACGCTTCTCTCCTCATTCTAGCTTTTTCTTTGCACGGTTTTCCAAGACTGCTCCAATGTCTGTTTTAAAAATCTGCTTTCACAAAAAAAAAAAAAAAAAAAAAAAAAAAAAAAATGCTTTCACGGTAACTACGATTACAGTTAACTTATTTGTACATATGTGCTTTTTTTTCCTTTCAAGATTCACGCATACAACCTTGAAACAAATGCATGGGAGGAGATTGCAACAAAACCTCATGAAAAAATAGGTAAATTAAAAAGTATTGATTCATGTCTTTAGCAAATGTATTTTATACCTGTTTTTTGGGGGATAATGATAATTTTCTTAAGTGATATGATACATAAAATATTTATCAAAATGGCATTAGAAGTCACTTTATTCCCCTTAGCGACTGAGCAGAGAGATTTTAACAGGGGTCACTGAGTTATGTGGTATGAGTGGAGAAACACTGAGGAATAAGAAGGGGGCGTAGGGGCTGGAGAAACGCCCAGGGGTTAGGAGTTCACTTCCCAACTCCAGCTGAGTCTCTGGGTTTCTCTGTGGGTGTCTTGGAGGCGCGCGCACATACACACACACACACACACACACACACACACACACACACACACACACACACACAAAGAAAAAAAGAAGAGATAATCAGAACTTAAAAGCTGTCGTCCTGGGCCACTGTCACCCCACCCTTCTCTTCCTTCATCAGGAGGGATTGGAAGGACTAGCTGTTGTTCTCTTGGATAATGGAACCCTGTATTTATGTGTTTGACAGGTTTTCCTGCAGCCCGAAGATGTCACAGTTGTGTTCAAATAAAAAATGGTATGGAGTCTAAATAAACTTTGTCTGCATTCTCACCTGCTGGGATTGACTGTTTCCCGGCCAGCTCCTCTAAAGGGGTGCATGGGTTTGCACTACACCATTGCTTGTAATTTAAACTTAAAGGGAACTCTAGACAGAGTTGTGTCTCCTATCAGTTTTCAGAGTGTAAACTAGTTTTGTGTCTGAGCTCTCTGTTGAAAGAACTCTGGAATTGATGGTAAATAAGCTTTTACTGCACCACCAGATCTTTTAGCCTCACTTATGGTTTCTAGTACTCACTGTGAGTACTTGCACAGGAAGACCTTGGTGCACATTGTACTAAAATTATAACTTCTCCAGCATATTAGAGCATGAAGCTAATTCTGTTCTCTGTCTATCTACTGTCAGAACTCTGAGTTCATTCCTTGGTCCTCTTGTGGCAAAGGCCTTGTATGATTTCAGAAAATAGCAGCCTCTTTAAGCATGCTAACTCTTCTTTGGCTAATATTACCCACCACCTTTTCATTTATAGGACATTTTATAGTTTTTATAGTTTGATACACCTCCTTGAGCAACCCCTACTCTCCTCCCCATCTCTGGGAAGGGGGTAATCCAGGAACTTGATAGCCTGTATCCTTGTAGCATCCCAATTCAGATTTAAGTAGTATTTATCTGCCATTTTATGTATACACAGGGACTTTTAAAAAATTATGCTTCTGCTTTTTTGGATAAGACTTATAGGTAGTGATACTGTTCTGCTTTGCCTCTGAGAATGGAGCTATGCTTTAAAGTTTTTCTTGAATCCTAGCCAAAAAAAGTTTCTGGTCTATTTTATAGTTTAATTAAGTTTTGGCTTAAACTTGGTCCAGACTTGAATTAGCCATTTATTCATTTGCTTCCTGGGAGCCATGCATCATACAGTTGGAACTTCTGGGCCTTTAAAAGGTCATATGGCTTTTGCTACAAATTGATCAGTAGTTAAAACTTAACCCACCCAGAGATATACAAAGCAAATGAGCTTTGACCCTTTTTTTGGTGGTTTTTCCTAGACAGGGTTTCTCTGTATACTAGCCCTGGCTATGACCAGGTTGTCCTGCTTGCTTTTGCCTCCCCAGTGCTGGGATTAAAGGTGTGTGCCACCATGCCCAACTCAGCTTCCCTTTTTGTGGTCCCAGGTTGCATTTTGTGGTGAGCATTTCTCCTAGGTGAAATGTCCATGGGGAGGGTATTTGTCACTAGGAATGAAGAAAAAAATGCATACTTTTTCCAAGGTGTTACTCAAAAGAAGAATTTGAAAACTGGTTTGTAGCTATGTTTTGTTTTTGATTAGTGTTTTCTTGACTAGTAGGAGTTTTAGCTTCTCTTGGAAACAGGGAAGCAGAGGCTAGCCTGCTCCTTCCAGGACGCCTCTCTGGGGCTGCATAGCCCTTCTCCCTCAGAGCATGAGCTTTCCCCAGACCTCAGTCTGTTTATTTCCAGCCTCCTGGTCATTTACTTTCGGTGCCTGGAGCCTAGGAATATTTAAATTTGAGAACCGAGACCTGAAGCCCCCTTAGACACTGGCATTCTTTGTCCCAGTGAAATGTCTGTCCTGTTGAGGGATGGCCGCCGCCGCCGCGCCCCCCCCCCGTCAGCTAACCTGTTCTCCTGTAAGACGCGCTGTAGCCGCAACTCATCTCCCTTGTGTGCTGTTGGCGTTCTCCTTTCTCCACAGATGTTTTCATTTGTGGGGGCTATAATGGAGAAGTGATCCTGGGAGACATCTGGAAGCTGAATCTGCAGACTTTTCAGTGGGTGAAGCTCCCTGCCACCATGCCAGAGCCTGTTTATTTTCACTGTGCGGCAGTCACACCCGTGAGTCTTTATGTGTATATCAGTGTATATCATTCCTACATAGTAGGTGGCCAGGAGAAAAGATGCTGATATGACAAGCTTTGAACTAATAAAAGGAGAGGGAAATACTATCACATTCGAGTTTAAAAGAGCACTTTAAATGTAAAGGAAATTCAGTATGTGGTATTTTAAGTCCTGATACTGAATTCTAAGGTGTTTCCTAAGAGGGCAGAATAATGTGCCATATTTGGGTCCAAAGATAATATAAGAACTTTTTTCTACTTTTTGTATTACTAACATTTGCTATTTTGGATACTCAATATACTCTAAATTTAATTGTTAATAAAAACTTGTTTGTAATTTAAAGTACACACATACACACAATTTAAAATACACACACACACACAGAGACACAACCAGGGGGTGGTGGCACATGCCTTTAATCTCAGCACCCAGGAGGCAGAGCCAGCCTGGCATACAGAATGAGTTCCAGGACAGCCAAAGGAACAAAACCAAACACAGTATAAGCAAATTAAAAAACAAAACTGTAGGGCTGGACATGGTAATTCTACCACACAGGAAGCAGACAGATCGCTTGAGTTTGAGGGTTTGAGTCCAGCTAGGCAGTGCATGAAACCTTGTATTAAAACAAACAAAACAAAAACTCCACCAAAACCATAGTTTTTTCTTTAATAACCCACTCGTTATATAAGCACTCCAGGTTTGTGCATAGGCTCAGCTCAGTGGGGAATTCTGTGTGTGTGTGGTGCTGGGTGTGGAACCCAGGGCCTGGCAGTTATACAGGCGCTGATTGCAATTCTGGCATCTCACCCTGATTTGGTCTGTGCTGCTGCCTTTCCTTCGCTGAAGCCTCTGCCCAGGTAGCTTTCTCTTCATTTGAATGTCTTCTTTTAACTGCCGTTTGTTCATAGGCCGGTTGCATGTACATTCACGGAGGAGTGGTGAACATCCACGAAAACAAGCGGACTGGGTCATTGTTTAAGATCTGGCTGGTGGTGCCTAGCCTGCTGGAGCTGGCATGGGAGAGACTGCTGGCGGCCTTCCCCAACCTAGCAAACCTCTCCCGGACACAGCTTCTGCACCTTGGACTAACACAGGAACTCATCGAGCGCTTGAAATGAGGATTTCTGGACGGTTCCTTGATACTGGAAATGTTAATTTAAAGAGACTCCTTTATTTATGGGCAATGTAGAGTGTGCTACACAGAGGACTGGTTACCCTGATCAAGGCCTTATTCAGAAAATACATCCGATGCCTTTCCATGAATGGGTTTAAGTTTATGGACATCTTATTCTCTCATGTGCTTTCTTCCCTGCTTTCCCCTCCTGCCCCAGTGTGCACCCGTATATGCACTCCCTCTGTCTTGATGGAGCTGAGGGAGTTTCTGAAAGTACCTTAATGATGTTAGGAATCAAGACACATTTTTTTTTATTTTATTTAAAGAAATTCGAACCGTAATGACCATGTCAGCTAATACCATAGATTAAAGCATTATCATCACAAACACCAAATTTAAAAAGCGAGCAACAAGTGGTCTGAAAGAGTGAGAAGACCCACCTGGATAATCTTGCAAGTTGTCCTTAAATTTCGGTGTTGAGTTAGTGTTTGAGATGTGTCTGAGTGGCTCGACTCAGGCAGCAGTGGATGATGACTTGGTGCAAAGATGCCTAACCTTGACGAAACATTTGATTAGTGAGCTTAACCTTGTGGTGCCCGTGGTTAGCATTGACTTGCCAAGATTTAGCAGTTATCTATCTGTCGACCTTCACGTTCTGTTGTTGTCTTTCAAATTAAATGTATGGTGACAAGTTCTTTCCAGGCCGTTTTGAACTTCCCCTGCGCTTATTAGTGGCTTTAAATATGTCTTTAACCTCCTCACGGGGGGAACTGTAGCTTCTAAGTGTGTGGTGTAAATGTTAAAGGACAGTAGAGTAGAGCATAGCACACGCACCCTTCAGACCTTTAGCTTCGGCTTGGGGCGATGGCTTTGACTATCATAACAGCTGTTTCCTTTTTAGAAATTGTTTCTTTGTAGTCTCTGGGCCATGTTCTTGCATTTTCTCAAACAGTGGCTCTGGATTCCCTCCTGAGCTTGTTGCGTCCTTTGCTGTCTGCTTCAGTGTGCACGATGCTGTAATTGCCTAGTAATTGGATAAAAGGTCTTAAGGGAAGACGAACCGATAGCTTATCCTTCCTCTAGAAGCAAGTGTCATTTGAAAACCAGCGGGAGTGAGACAGGATAATTTGCTTGTTTGTTTGTTTCCGTGAGAGAGTTTGGGTTCTGGTCTGTTTTATTTTGTTAAATCTAGGAAGAAAACTGACCTAAGTTTTCACTTGTTTTGTCCTCAGACTACTAGAAGAGTTGAGGGAGTTGCTGGCGTGAGCCTGTGGGTACCCATCCATAGGGGTAGTCAAGATGAGGGAGGCCCTCCTGCAGGTCCGTCAGAGAGGAGACACGTGCGGATTTTGAACACATTTTTCCTTTAAGTGCCTCTTTTTCATCTAGCTTTAACGTTATTCTTTTTCTTTTAGCCCCAAAGAGATCTCTTTAATTTGTGTGGATTTAAAGTCACCTTTGATTTATAGTGAAAAAGTTCCTGCCCAGTGTGCAGTTCCAGGGACGCCTTGACCTCCCTCGACAGGCCTTATGTCCCACCCATGAGGGCTGTGGTGGGGCCTTTGCTGGCCATTCTGTCAGAAGCACTTATCTGTGAGTTTGGGCCATTTCTGAGCAGAGAAGGGATGGAACTGCTCTTCTAGGGGTCCCATCCCCAAAATCTCGCCATTCCCTGTTGGTGAGGCTTTGACCTCTTACCATCGAGGAGCCCCCTCCAGAGTAAGTCACCCTGAGCCGCTTTGTGACTCCAGGCCAGGTCTCTGGACTGTGGTGGAACTATATCCCAAACTAATAAGCCATGTTTTCTAGGGTGACAAGAAGGGTTTTTGTCATTGGTTTATGTAGGGACCAAAGACTGACTGTTCAGCCTCTGCTTTGACTGCATGGTCCTTGGAACACAGGAAGGCCTTTGGTGCTCTGTTGACTAGAATGTTGTGAAGAGGGGCCTGACTCAAGCCGCGCTTGCTGGCTTCCTTTTCAGCCTTTTAAGGCAGTCTTCTTGGAGACAGATGTTGGAGGCCTGACATCAGTGATCATATGTGTCTTATAAGTTCGTTTGGTCTAAAGTATCTGAGTAGAACTCTAGTGAAAACTGCAGTGAGCAGCTGTGATGCTGCAAGCTGCTCATATGCAGGGAGTTCTGGGTGCCAAATGGCTGTAGACAAGGACTTCGTAAAGGGACTGGATTTCCCTACGGGTCACCAGCATTTTAGTTTCTCTCTGGCCAGCACGTGGGTTCCCGAGGGCATCACCTGGTGTTGGGAAGGGTGTGATGCTGCTGCTCCTTTGCTCTTTGAGGTCTGCTGGCCATCCCCCTGCAGTCCGGGAGATGAAAGTGCAATATGTAGAAACAGTAGAAACACAGTCTACACAGATTCTGTAGAAGTGATGACTGTGTGACAACCACTACTTTTTTTCCTATCTTGGGCAAGTCAGCTCATTGCTTTAGAGTAAAATTATGCCAAGGATATTCAGTGTGATCATAAGCTAACTTCTTGGTAAAGCTGGATTTTTTCAAGTCCATCTTTTCTTACTCTAGTTCATAAAATAATTACTATTCCTTTGTTTGTTAGAGTTGAGATTTTTTTTCCCCATCCCTGTTTGTACTGTCTTCTTTTTGCATGTCTTGCCCAGGAAGAAGGAAGTTCACTTGAGTAGGTTGCCCAAGTGAAGAATTAGAACCTAACACTAATACGCTAACTTATCTGGGAAGATAAAACTTTATTAAATGATGCGTCCATCACTACAAGGTATTTTCCACTTCACAGAAAAACTGCGAACCGGTATGTAATAAGGGTCAATCTCTCTACCTGCTTTCCACTGGCAGGAAACCCCTTCAGGGGCCAGTGAAGTGATAGAAAAGCTTGCTTTATAGCAATCCAACACAGAGCTAGATTTAAAACCTATATATATATATATATATATATAAAATGAAAATAGTAACATTTCTAGATTAAAAGTATGACAGTGACCTTTGGTTATCCACAGTCGCAAGATGAAAGCACAGACAGTTGAAATTCACAGAAAATCAGTGTTTCAACTTTTTCATTAAACAATTGATTTCTTTACATACCTTTTCCCTTCCTACTCCTCCCCCACAAGCCTCTCCTTTTTAAGGGACTAGGAGTTAGGAGAGGAAAGGAAGCTCGAAGAGGGGCTAGCAGCAGCCTCTACTCCAGTGGTCCCAGGCAGCTTTAGAGGTGTTGCAGTTGATGACCTCACGGGTGGGAACCCTGAGGTCCAATGGTGCCCAGAGCACGGTCTGCTGCTGAGTTCTCTACTGCCTCCTGAACAGAGAACACTTCCTTTGCAGGAAGAAAGGCCGTGCCTCACAGAAACAGGACACCTATCATTTGAACACATTTCTTTGGCTCTTGACAAAACTTGCTTTCCCGGCTTTTTCCTTTGGAGTCTCCTTCTGGAGTCTGAGAGCCTGGTGTGCCGGAGAGGCACACTGCCCTCTTGGACGGTGTTGGGTTTGTCTCCTCTGAGTCAGTTTGGCTTTCTGTGGTCTTGGTGACCCTGACAGTGGCCCTCCCGCCAACACTCTGTGTAGCACAGAAACCCATTTCCCCTTTTGTCCTCTTTTGTGTTCTGGTGTTGGGCTTCGGGTGAATGAGGGTTTATTGTTACAGCCATGCATTTCAAGAACTGCTTAGTATAGGTGTAAATTCCCTTGGTCCCCAGGTACCTCAGAACTTTGGAAGCCTTGGCAGGGCCTGAAGCAGGCTCAGTGGGGTTCTGGAACCTCCGTTCTAGATTGTGAGACTTGGAAGTGTCATAAGCAGAAGCTCTGAGTTGTGCTTCAGAAGCTGTGTCATCTTCTTGGGTACGTCCCACGTGAACTTTTTTAAACTTTTGAGAAGGTTTTAAAAGGCCCCGCCTAGTCTGCACAGGCGGGCTTTTCGAGTCAGAGGCAGTTTTTCGAGAAAAGGCCAGTTTCACTCCATAGTAGTAATTGCTGTTGTACTAGTTACATGTGAGGAATGGCGAGGAGGCAGCAGGGAGCACCCTGACCGGTGCAGTCTGCAGGGAGGGTGCAGGCAGCTCCTGGGGACACTTGAGGGACAGGCTGCTCCGAGGCTGGGCCAGCCTTGGCTCTTCCCGTAGGTTGCGAGGCCATACACAGTGCTTGCCTTACTTTAAAGCTATTTGCCACAGTCCTGTTAAATAGTGTGGATGTCCTTTTGCAGTCTGGTGTGCATGCCATGTGATCAGGACAGCTTTTCCACATCCCCCGGTTTCCTACAAGCAAGTAAATCTACCCTGAAATGTCTGTACTTATGTACCTTGTCAGTGTTTGCTGTTGGTTTTCTAAAACAATCTGATCAATAAATCTCTAAACATACTTGGTCCAAGTCACCATGATTGTCTGCAGTAATCTGTGCACATGTGGAAATTCACCTTTTGACATGCTTAGCAGCTCCACCCCCTTCAGTCCCCACTAGAGTCAGCTTCGCCCTCAGATCTGTGTGCCCCCCACTGCCACCCCCCACCCCCGTGAGGGGCGCTCTGCTCACTTCCAGAACCCCTGGGCACACAGCAGCTGTCTCAGTAGAGCTCGGCTCTCTGCATGGATGCACTGTTTCATAAACTTCAAACCACTGCAGAGGAGTTGGAGGAGATAGAGAAGTCTGAGGGGAATGTGGACCCTGAGAAGAGTCATAGGACTTCACAGTCCAAAGGAAAGGCTGGAGTTGGAGCAGAGTCCCATCCTGGGATCCTCAGAGTGAAGCCACAGTTCTTAGCTTCGCCTTTCTCCAGCAGTGTGTCTCAGCTGTTAAATCCGGAGTAGATGAGGATACCCCATCCACACCGGGTCACCTTTAAGGCCTGCCTGCCTGCCTGCCTGCTAGGGTTGGACACACTCATTTCTGTTTCCATAGGCTTTTTCTAAGGATAGATTTATTGGGTGTTACAATGTAAATCTACAAAGAGGGAAAAGTTTTGTGCTTGCTCATCCGACATACAGACAGCACGTAAAATGTCCTGTGCGCTCATCCAACATAAACATACAGACAGCACGTAAAATGTCCTGTGCGGGCAGCCCTCCTTCCTTCTGCTTATTTTCCACCTAAAATGTGCTCCTGTCAGACTTCACTTTTGACCTGCCACCAGCACTCACTCTGGAGACAGATGCCAGTCTGGT